GCAGGAAAGTGTCTTTTTTCCTTCTGCCTCAGTGGGATCTGCTGTACCATGCACTGATTCAGTGATCTGACTGGGTACTCAGTATTCATTTTTTAACTTAGTAACAGAGTATAAAAATAACTGTTAAAACCATCTGTACCTGAGCAGATTGTCATTTATGCAACAATTTTGAGATTATTTGTATGTAATAATACGCTGTTTAAGTGCTGCTTATGGGTTTGTGGGCTTTTAGAAGCGATGGGAATGGATTGTAAGCAGGTAGCCTAAGGCTTTGAGTCTTGGCTTTTTGATTTCATTATTAACTCTGCAAAGGGCAGTCTAGCTCATCCATCCTTCCCCTGATTATATCTCATGTCCAAAACAGTGACGTAGCAGAATTAAGGAAAGGCATGGGCAATTTATACACACCATGCATTTTGAGATGGTTCTTTCGTTATTTTTCGCTACCATCAGAAATGGAACGTTGGGAGAAAATAGTTCTCAGCTCTGAAAATTGCAGATCAGAGGTTGAATTGAGTGAGCTCAAAAACTGCAAGTAACCTCTTGCAAATGCTGATCAAAGTATCTATCTCCTTAGTTTCCTCTACTGTGTTTAATTACAGAAGGGTATATATCCTTCTCGGCTTCCTGGTCTACTGGGTGGAGTAGCACATGCACTTCTTGCCATTAACACCAGTCAATGACTGGCTTCATTTGAAAAGAAATCTTCTATCTAGTCTCACTGAGCATGTGAGGATTCATAGCAATTTTCAATGCAAAATCAAAAAATGAGTGTAAGTAGCAGATGATCCTGGGGACCAGGAGTGCTTATAGTCTCCTCTGGAGACAGTGTTCATAAACTGTTCCTCAGGTGGAACTGGTGTATCAGCATCTCCTTAATTCCTCCCAGCATAAATTCAGTAATTCTCCACAAGAAAGAACTAGTTTTATTCACTAGCTCAGGTAAGACTGACTGGTAAACCCTACTGCATCTGAGAATGTGAATTTCCCATGCCGCAAGAAGTGCATGAAAGTGGTTCCATGAAGAGGGAGTTCCAAAAATAGCTTGGCTTTTCTTGAAGATTCCTTTATTGATCAGTTCTGTGATGGCTTCTGTTATTTTGAAAATTACTTTTCTCCTGCAGAAGAAGTTCTCTTTTGAATTATTTGTACATTTTTTACTAGCAGCCTGGTCTTCAAGAAAGTGACCATTGCTTCACCAGAGATGATAATTTCTGGTTCAGTACAACTCCCTCATGTACTCCATTAGCTCAATATACACTATTCCCAAAGGCTCCCGTTAGTCTTGTAAGAGAAGTAACCGCCATGTAAAACATGCGTTTCCTTTACTATTCCTGGTATTCATAAATAATGTATGAAGGCTTTGTCAGTGACAGATAAGGCTGTAATTCAGGTTTTGCCCTTGCAAGGAGTTGAGACTCCTTACCCAACACACACAAGTCACTGATTCAGATTAAACAATGCTTTAGATGTTGGTTTTGGGGCCTGTCAGAAGTTTGTCCATGCTGCCTGCTTTAAATAATAGAGCAGGAGGTGCAAAGCAGGATGGGATACACGTGCATGATCATTTCCACTTGTATTAGGGTTATGCTGTTGATGCTGTGGTCTGATTTGTTCTTCAGAGTGTTCTTGAAGCCTGTGAATTGCAGACCTTTGGGGTAAAACTAAGGATTTCGGCATTGCCTAATACGTACAAAGAACTAAGGAGTATTAACTCCATAGGATCAGGCTAATGTAGGTTAGTCCAAAAGAAATCCCCCTGGAAAGCCTTCAGGTGGATGCCGAAGTCCTCAGTACCCATCCTTTCACTGTACAGATCCACTGCTATTGTAGCGTGCTGCTTTGTAATGTAACTACAACCTTTAGCACGCTGCCTGGGCTGTTCATCTATGTGCAATCATTTTGTGTGCTTGAATGCCATTTGCTGGTTTTTACAGTTACCCCGTGTAACTGCTCTCAATTGAGATTAGCTAGCTTGAGCAGATAACTCCAGCTAATAGTGGAGAAGGATAACATCAATTTATCATTTTTCTTACATGAAATAAACGTGGAATCTTCCCTCAAGGTTTTTCTGACTTCCTGAGTTGTTAAATCACTTATTTCCATATTTGCTTTTTTGTACTGTGCCTGCTTTTATCAATGCAGTGGGACTTCCTGGCAGCATTGGGACGTATTTCACGTTCACATCAGAGGAGAGCAAAGCCCAGCAGGATAACATCTTTCTTGGTTTGTTTTTTTTTTTCCTAAGCATAAGACATTTGGTTTTTCTAAACAGATTGGATGTTCTGATTTGAAATTATGACTGGTTAGACGGCATCCTATCTTTAATTAGGTTGCACAGACTGAGTCATTTTGCAAGCTAGACATTTTAATTTACAATCTACTGCAGTGCAGCACTCTTCAAGGCCTTCTGCTATGTAATAAGGTATTCAACTTGCAGCACAGGCTTTAAAAATACTGGAGAACTCTCTGTGACTTCACTTGTTTATTTTATATTTTCAATTTTAGTTACAAATCAAACATGCAGTTACAGAAGCCGAAATTCAGAAGCTAAAGACGAAGGTAAGAATCAATATATGGCTCATACATGCTGTTTTTTCCTCTTGTGCAAAATCAGATCTGAAGATGTGTATCTTTGTGTGGATGGAGAAGTCAACATCTTTATTAAAGGCTGATTAAGAAGCAGAGTAGCTCAGCTAAATCTTGTCTCAGTGTATATTCTTTATTCAAAGTTTCAAGTAAAATCTTAAGTGCTGCTATTCAAAGAAACTGCCGACTTGTGTAGCTTCAATTAAACATACATTTTAAGGGGTATCATAATGACTAAATGGCAGATTTCTAATTTTACAATTCTAATGCATTTTCTCAGGGTTTTAAATTATATTTGGATTGAATATTCAAGTCTAAGTTAGTAGGTTGTTTATTTACCAGCAATGTTAAAGTTTCCTGTTTATGCTACTTTCCTTTTTCTGACATTTAAAATCCACTCAGAATTATTAAAGGTGTTTAATAGAAATTGCTTTTTATACACAGAAGAAAAAGGTGCTGATTCATATTGTTGCAGTTCTCTTTAAAAGATACTTTAGAAAGGAAAAAACTTACAATTTAACAGAAAACATTATCTCACAACTGGTTGCTACTTATTAGATTGAATTTGCTATAGCAATAAAAAGGAATCGTATTTTCTGTACAAGGATAACCTTTATGGGAAGTCAACTGATAATTCAGTTGTTGAGTACTATTAGGTTTTATAATGACATCCTTCTCTTTGAGTTTGTATATTATGAAGGAAATAAAAAGAAGAGAAAATTGTACTTCAGAAGAAGATATTAGATTATTATTTCTTTCTAGCAACATTTGCACCCACCATGTATTTTGTATAGTGTTTAGCAAATCTGCATAAATTATCATTAAAAACAAATTCAAAGTGCAACTATTTTCTGTAAGAACAATTTCTGTTGTACTGTTCCACTTCAGAAAATCAGAAATCTTTCTTCCTCTGCTTTCCAGTCCCTGTCTAGGAATCGGAACCACACGGTCAATCCTTTGAGATTGTGCCAAGCCCCACTGACTTGATGGCAGTGATGTGTGGGTGTAAACAGTCATCTGTGCAAACCTATTTGCAGGATTCGGTTGATGTACCTTTTTGTGTTGGACTTCTTTCCCTAGTGTTTTCAATTAAGCAG